ACTAAAGACTTACTTGCTTGAGATAATGGAAATCCATCATGTTTATCCTTTTTATTTGAAGATAATGAAGATTGATGTGTCTTAAAATGAATCTCTTGGTCATCACAACCAATATCATCTTTGTTTGTTATTTTTTGACCTACTGAACACAAACAGAGAATATTTGAATTTCATCTAACAACTTGTCTTCTCATGTAGCAATTTTACAATTAAAAATTTTTTACAAAATACTTTACAGATTAATAACTTTATAAGTAAAATAGGGTATATAGTATGGTATATAATATTATAGGTTTCATACTGCTAAGTATTTGGTAATAACACCAGAATATCATTAAAGAATGAAAATCTTAAAATGACATTTCGAAGTAAGTCACTCCCTTTTATGAAACAAATCATATTTTTTCCTTTCAGCCTTTTTAACTATAGTAATTCCTTTATAAAAACCACTGATATTATCATTTTTAATTTTTAGAGTTAAAGAAGAAAAACTCTGACAATGTTGTCCCCTTTTCTCAAATCCAAATGAATTTTTTTCCATTAAAAGCAGTTGATAATTAAGTAGAATTAAAAACTTAATCTAGTTTTTTTAAGCAATCAAGTTTACTCAACAATTAAGTTATTTAATAGAGTAAAATAATCTAGTTAACCACACCATAAAAACTTTATTAATCATATCTACTTGATTCAAGTAGAAATACAAACACAACCTAGTTTCAACGAAGGCATACAACTTTAAACTAAAAATACTCGAATATATTTTCAAATTTAATTCTACAAGAAAACAATCCGAACACTTGGTTGATTTAAAGATATATAATTTTTATAATAATTTATATAATTTTTACTTAAATAAATCAATTCGCCTAATCGAAAGTCACGCCATTTATTTGCCTAAACATACTTTATATCTTTTAGAAATTGCCGTGCTGTACGCTTAAAACAAGTTTTTTTATCACGTTAAAAAAACGTTTTAAAAACGTTCATAAGCTAACTGAGAAATTTCGTAAGTTAATAAAAAAAATTAAACGTTTAAAAAACGCTAAAAAAACGTTTAAATTAACATTTAAAAAAAACGTTTGCAAAAAAACTTTTTAAAAACGATTGTATTGGTTCTTTTAACGTCTGACCGTAAATTGAACAGAATTAAAACGTTTTAAAAACGTCCTGTGCCTGCTGGGTACAAGCTTACCAGCTTTTCGATTTTCATTTTTCCCTCAAACCTTTCCGGATTTGCATTGTTTCAGAACAGAAATCCTCGTTTATATAGATGTTTTTCCCTTTCAGATTGCTTGGCTTGCAACTTTATCTTTAAAATCCAAAAGTTTTATCACTATTACCTCGGCTTACTTGATTCTTTTTTTCCAGTTCTATGGACCCATTCAATTCGGACATTTTGAACAGACATCTTGAACAGTAATTCTTCAAAAAAAAAATTTAATTTAAGTTCGCTCACCTCCCAGCTTTCACCTTCATTTTCATTAATTTCATCCACTCTCAAATTATTACGTCTCGATCGATCTTCTATCTTCCTTAACTTTTTTTGTATGCGTGTAATTGAATTGTCTTCTTTACTGAAAATATTTGCTTCCTTAACTTTTTCATCGATTTGTACTTCATGAAAATTCAAACTATGCTTCAATTCTTCTATATCTTTTTCAACTTTTTCCAATCTGCCATTAAATGTTTTTAAGTTTCCACTTATAATGTCATCAAAAACTTTTTCCTGTTGTTTTAACATCAATTCAAATTCTTTTTTTATAGCCTTCAAACAATTTTGCTATTTCTGATAATGTAACAGCCATATTATATAAAAAATTAATTATTTTCTCAGCGAAAAATAAATAAAATCTACTAAAAATTTAAAATTAATACAGTTTTTTCTTTAAATTTTTACGCTGCAAAATCACGTCTGTTCATGAAGAAAGCATGCGGCAAAAAAAACTTTAAATATATGGGTTTACTTTTAAAATGTGAAAACTTAAATATAATTTAAAATTTTTTGGATCAGCATAGAATGCTTAGGCATTTAGGCATTTTGTAAAATCATGACAGGAATGTTGTCTGGACTACAAGTCGTAGAGTTTAATTAACATATGAGTTTAGCAACAGAAGCTGGAACAATTTGAGTGTTTAACAGTGAGTTAACCTGTTTAACTGGAATGGAAAATAGTTCTGCTTTATCCTTGAGAGAGGTGATAAGATCAGTCCCATGAATGAGAGATGGATAGTTAGACCTACCTTTGTTAAAGATGCTGTTGATGATTTTCCAAATATAGCTAGAGCCTAACTTCTGAGATAAAATGCGAGATTTAGTGAATTGGGAACAATGGAGCTTAGCATCAGACAGCGCCTTTTTGCATTAATTTCTGTTGACAAAAGAGTTGTTCTTTTGAAAAAGATGAAAAATGTTAGATATTGCAGCTGCACAAGAAAGTGAAAACCACGGAGTAGCATAAGGCATGACTTGGAACTAACGTGAGGGAATAAAGCCTCCATTTTTTTTGCCTAAATCCAGGAGGTTACGTAAGAAGCGCATTTATCAGCTGAGAGAGAAAAGCATCAGCCCAGTGATCGTCACGAAGAGAATTATGGAAGGAACCCCAGTTAGCTTTAGGGTAGTAGTAATTAGTGCAATGATAGGGCGAGTCCGAAGAAGAAATGTAAGAGGAAAGATTTATAGAGACCATTGCGTGGTTGGAACCACCTAAACGAGAAAAAGAAAAACTAAACACAAGCTAGGGTCAGAGACAAAACACAAATCAAGAACTATAGGTAATTGATTAGAGTTGTCTGTGAAACGAGTCACTAATTTAACTATCCGAGTAAGAGATTCAAAAATCTAGAAGTTATGGGTTTTAGTGCCAGCATGGTCAATTGTGTTAGAGCTAAGCCATTCAGTGTGTTGAGCATTATAGCCTCCAATAACAACAATATTGACAGAAGTGTAAAAAGAAAAGGTATCATCAATTTGATCAAAAACTGCATTTAAAAAAGTTTTAGGAAGATATTTTTGTTGTAGATTTGTTGAGGACCAATTGGAGTTTAGCTCATTGGTTATTAGTGGACCATTAGTGGCTTGTTTGAAATTAATATGTTAACATTACCTACATGCAAAATAGTATTGCAATACCTTATAGAAAGTCAAATAAAATGATTATAGTCAAATAAAATCAAGTATTATCATCTGATAAGCGGCTTATTCAAAGCATTTTTTAGTTAAAAATTCCCTTATATAATCGAATACTTTTGCGGTCGAAAGTAATCCAGAATTTCAAGATTTGAAATATGTTGTGCAATATGTACATTATCAATTTAAATTTGATTTATTATCCGCAGATGTCCGCGTGGTCTCTATTAATTATTTTTACAATTTAGATAATGTACCCGTTTTTCATTCATTTATTATGCTAGTAGGGGAAAGTTGAGTATGTTGAGCATGTTAACAGTGTGTTTGCAGCCGAAATTTTATAATATTTATTTATTTGCAGATTATCATAATTTAATATTTCTTCTTAAAGAATATAAATGAATAGTTCATTTATAAAAAAAATCCTCATACCAAAAATTGCGTTATTTTCAACACACCCATTTATCTCAACTTAGGAAACCAGTTTCCTTAGATGAGCTTTTTTTAATGGAACTCAAAAAAAGTCAAAATAACAAAAAAATAATCACGAAAAAAAATTAAACAAGGCCTTGATAAAATTAAAACTGAGTAATTATCTCTACCATTAAAAAAAAAAAAAAAGCAATAAATCTTTAAAAAAGTTAACGATTGCATTTTTGAAAAAAACTTTCGCTTTTGGAATACCAAATAAAAGTTCCGCTGAGAACAACTTTAAAAAAACGCGCTTTTCCTAATAAAAAGCCGCATCTCATCTTGAGCGTCTAAAATCGTATCATCTTAAGCAACTTCACCAAGTACTGTCATAATTTAATTGGCATGACTACAGCTTATGTATTATCCCATAAAACCCATGAAATTAGCAGTAGATATGCATAAAATATTGAGGATCTAATAAATTTTTAATAATCTTGTTTCGTTCTGACGTAGTTGCAAAATATTGAATAATAAAAAATTATAACGGGATGGTAAGTTTTTTTAACAATAAAATAATCAAAGAATATTAACTATACAACTAAGAAATTAAATGAAATGACACTGTCGAACTTGTATGAATACCCTTAACCAAAAAAATTCGCGAAAAAATTTTTAGTCTACCTGTAAAAGAGGTTATACCATCTTTGGAACATGCTCACCTTCACCTATTTTCTGTTTTTTATTCTAAATGCATATATTTTTTTAGGATGCATAGATATTAAAATAAGTTTTTTAACAAATACTTAGTATCAATTATTATGTAACCAGTTTCCAAAAAGTGTACAGTGTTCAGATTGATGCAATGATCGTTTCTAACCTATTTTCTCATTAGCGCAACATGCGCACGTGTTGCGCAAATGTTTGAAAATTTTATATATACTTTATATTATACAAACTTATTTTTTACTTTATTTTATTTTATTTTAAATTTCATATATAAAAATCTTATAATAAAAATAATGTCTTTAAATATCAAAGAAATTTTATAAATAACAAACTTATATAACAAACTTATTCGACGTTATTTATGTTATCAATTTCACTGACGATACAGTATAGTTCTTTCCGCGTTTCAAATCTTTTTTGCATATTTCTTCCTAAAGATTCATATCAAGTTTTTAAAAGTACTTTTTAATGGCAACACGGAACGCCACTGCCAATTTTACTTTTGTACAGTTAATAAATCGATGACTCCTACTAACGCCGATGTCCTCCGTCACTATAGGGAGGGAAAAATATATATGTTTTTGCGACGAGAGGAGAAGTTAATAGAGCACCAAGAAAGGCATTGACAGTGTTGTTTCGAAAAATTTTAGAAGATTTATGTTGAATATTGGACAAATTTTTATTCCAACCATAAGTCACGAAGGAATTTGTCTTAAGGTTCAGCGCCTCCTAGAAACGAAAACTGCATAAAAAATAGACCATCAATGACTGTAAACGCGGACCGACATGTCGATGTTTTAAATCTTTGATTTCAAGATAAGATTGTTTGTCTGGAAAAGAGATTGTTGAATT